AGACATAAAGGTGAGAATTTCAATGTATTTATTAGGATTTTTTTATGATTATAATGAGCTGCAGTTACTTTGATTTAACAGATTTGGTTTATCCTTTGGTTATTGCAGATATCAGTATTAAGTTTTTCAGTTATTTATAAACTTAACCTCATTATATATATTAATACCTTGCAGGACTTCCCTCCTAGTTTCCTCAGTATGGATACAGAAGGGAGAGTTATAAGGTTTGATTCCTTCTCCAAAGTTCTAAGCTCAGGACTTCGACTGGGCTTTGTAACCGGGCCTAAACCACTTGTGGAGAGGATTGTCTTACACAAGCAAGTCTCGATTCTACATGCATCTTCCATGTCGCAGGTAATAATGGGGATATGAGTGTCCGCAGGACATATATAATTTTTGTATAATTTATGTCTGCTATTCTAAATTTGCTGTGTATATTGTAATGATTCTTGGTCATGGAGAAGGGTGACTCGTATCTCCTGATGTGCACAAGTACCAATATTTATGATATTTCTTTCAACAAATTCTTTCATATAAGGAGTAGAATAGTTGAATAAGTGGGTTCAGTACATACTTCTGTTTTTGGTATATGATTGAAGGTACTGATCAGTGAGCTGCTTGAGATGTGGGGAGAGGATGGATTCCTGAAGCACACAGAAGCAGTTCAGGAGTTTTACTTGAAGCAGAGAGAAGCCATGTTAGAAGCAGCAGAAAAACACCTTACAGGTCTGTTGCCTCGGAAAGATTATTGTTTTTTTTTTATGTTTCCTTGTGAGTGTTTTTATTTTTTTATAGAACATAATACAGGAGAGTGTATACATTGCAATAAGTAAGAGTAAATGAAAAAGAAGGAGGGAACTGAGCATATTATCATGTAGGATGTTGACATATATATCTCTTAGCATTTAAAATGATACATCTCTTAGAACATGTAAGATAAATTGTCCTTTCTATTAAGACTTTATTTTAAGTACCTTAGAATATCATAACAGATATTTAGATGGATGAGTCATAAATATTTGATTATATTCGTATCAATTACTTGTGTTTTTATGTGAAAATTCTCTTTTTCAGGTCTATGTGAATGGGCTGTTCCAACAGGTGGCATGTTCCTCTGGCTCAAGGCGAGTTAAGGTGTATAAGTTTGGATATAATATATCAGGAAAATTATAGGGACAGATATATAATCCTTATCTAAAATGTACCCAAAACTCAATGCCCCTTTTTCTGAAAACTTTGGTACTTTGTTATTTTTGTTATCTTCTCCCCTTCAGCTTATACACAGGTATTCTTTTCATATTTCCCCTTGTGCAATTCTTTTTCTGAGAATTTATGGCCATATTATAGATTTGCTGACAATAGATTTTCTTTTGCAAACAGGTCCCTGGTGTGAGTGAAACATGGGAAATGATCCTGAATAGAGCTTTGAAAAAGGATGTTATTCTTGTACCTGGCAGGGCATTCATGTGTGACCCTACCAAACCTTGTTCATATATGAGAGCTGCATTTTCCATTGTCACTCCAGAGAAGATGGATAAGGTAGGACTGGTTTTATTAAAAGACACTAACAAAGCTAGTCATTGTAAATATTTGTTGCACTGTACTACATGCATAAGTCTATGATTATAAATTCTTATAATTTTACCTAAACTATGTCATTGTATGTTATATGCTTATTGATATATATTTTTTCCAGGGTTTACAGAATTTGGCTGACTTGATACGAGAAGAAATTGAACTTCAAAAAGCTTAAGTGAAAGATTTCCAGCTTACATTTGCTTCAAGACCAAGTTGAACTTTTATTCAGAAGATAAAGTTTTCTCATACAATGAATACAATTTTTGCTTTGTCATACATTGAGATTCATGTCTTGTAAATAAGGGACTAAAGGAAATTTCTGCCAGTATCTCCTACATATCCCATTCTCGATGTTGATTCTTGTATGAAATATGTAACCAGTAAAATAAGTATTAGGCATTTCTTTGTGAATGTTGCAAATTGATACTTATTTATAAACATCTTCACTAAATCTCTTATTACATTACTAATGTCCAAGTGCTAAGTGTGGTTCTTAACATCTCATTTGGTGTTGCTATAGAATATCATATCCTTGCATAAATTTTAAAATTAAGGTTATCAAAATATGTTGTTTTTTTATATATTTTTGGACATTCGTCTTGTTACAATGGTAGAAATGAAGTAATGAAGAACAAGGAGAAAAGTAGTAGTAGTAGTAGTAATAGTAGTAGTAGTAGCAGTAGTAGTAGTTGTAGTTGTAGTTGTTGTAGTAGTAATAGTAATAGTAAGAGAAGAGTAGGAGAATAAGAACACGAACAAGGAAGTAGACAAACAAGAAGTATACATCATTGTCAGTGACAAAATTAATATGGTATTGACAAAGATGAAGTAAATATCAATTTGAACACGGAATCTCCTCTACTTTTAGAATGGGAATCTACCAGTGACTCTTGAACATAATAGCTTTGAGATTTCTTAAAAGTGATTATGGTTTCAGAAATTATATATATTCATAAAGGTTACTTATTTATGCTATACACTCTTCATAAGCAAGTAGACTTTTCAAGAATTGACTCTTTTTTTGTCAATTCAGCCACTGTTTGTTTTAAATTGTATTTTTTATACATTAATAAGTGTTGATCATTGTATATTTAGCTTTTCAGGTGCTATGAACTAGGTATTATTTTCTGTTGCACTGATGTAATTATTTTTTTCTTTCTGTTTTTTTTATGTGGAGCCATATATATTTATTGTTTTAAAAGTCAGTGTCAACAACTTGTAATTAAGTGGATGTCTGAAGAGAAAGGAAAAGGAAGTGTTGATAGTCTAGGTTGAATTACCAGGTTAAAGATATATTTTAATGTGCCACATGAAGAAACATTTCATTCTATTTATAGTTTTAAAATTGAGTTGAGTTTTTCTTGTCAACACTGTTTGTCCAGCATTGTGAAATATTTTACTAAAATTTCCTTAAGTAATTAGATGAAAAACATGCATAAACATGGGTTGTTGTTTTTCATAAATAAGTAGAGCTTTTGTGCTTTTCTCTAGAAGCACTTTGTGTATTGATAAATTTTTGTGCACTTATTATCTTCACTGATTTATCTCTTTCTAGTCTTTTGTGCTCAAGGCAGGTTAACTATTGTCTGTACATCTTCTGTTATCAGCTGTTACCATTTCAAAAATTATATTTCATGTATATGGATTTGAACGAAAGTCTCTGGAAAAATGTTGGATTCACTGTAGTTTTGTTTTGTGAAATGTCTTTGCACACGTCTCTGCAAGTGCATAGTCACAAAGGAGTCAATTAGTAGATCTTGTGACCTCACCTGATTTCACCTTGCTTTGAGTTTGTGGGATATTATTATTATTATTATATATATATATATATATATATATATATATATATATATATATATATATATATATATATATATATATATATATATATAATTTTTTTTTTTTTTTTTTTTTTTTTTTTTTTTTTTTTTTACAAACTAACACTATTAGTATTGGTGCTGTTAATTTCTTTTAGACATTATAATCATTATTGTGTTATTGACATTACTGACAGTATTAGATACCAGAAAATATGTTAGAAAATCAAGGAACAGGTTAGACAGGTAGTACTCGTAAGTTGCTCCTTGTGTAAAAACATTTAATAAATTAAACTCACAGTGTGCATGGCATGTACGTAAGAGACATTGCCAGGGGCTTCAGGTTAATGGAAAAAGTGCCTCCATAATCAGCTTCTCTCTTTTAACAGGCTGCATAAAATTTATTACCTCAGTGTAAGTACAAAACTCTTGATGGATTTTACTTCATGACCATTCTTTTGCATCAAGTTTTACATCAGTGGAAATTATATGATTTGATATTTCAGAAAATAAAAGAATTATGTAGTTCAGCTGGTTGTTAACTGTCAGTACCATTTGCCATACTGTTGGTTATCAAATAGCATTGTTTTACATACTATGAATAAAATGAAAATTATAGTACAATTTTGTTTAATACTACCACATACTCACCTAATAGTACCTGACCTAGGTGGACAAATCTGGAATAAAACATGTTCACAAAAGAGAAAAACCTTAGGGCAAATGGACAGAAATTATAATGAAATGATATATGTCTTCTCCATAGCTTTGTAGATGGTCCTAGTGATTCCCCAGGCTTGCTATGATATTTACAAGTAGGCCTTTGTGAGAGCGCATGCCACAAAACTATTATGAGTCACAGTGTAGCTCATTCTAACATTATTGAATGCTGGAGGTTAGTGGAATGGCATCTGAAAATTTATTAACTGGTCAGTTATTAACTTGAGAAGAAACTGCCAGTCTTTCACTTCTGCTTCTTTTTCCTTTTTGGTTGAAATGACAAGAGTTAAAAACAACAATGTGGATAACTCATGCAGTTGTTAAAGTATTTTTTTGTTTAGGTTTACAGGGATTCTGCATAGTTCAGCACATTGCCAAACCCTGAATTACTTTATTTAAATAATTCATTACTAAAGTAAGCAATGAGTAATTGATAAAAAAGTTAATTAAAGATTAAGTTAATTATCATTATAATTAGACATACCAATCTTAGAGTGCTAATCATTAAGAGAGAGAGAGAGAAAAAAAATATATATATACATATACATATATATATATATATATATATATATATATATATATATATATATATATATATATATATTATATTATATATATATTTTTTTTCAGTGAGAAAGGGAGAGACATGAATTGCAATTGACATGACAGTGCCGTAAAAAAAAACACTATTCTAATTAGTGTAATTATCATTATTAGCGCATTGATAAAATAAAAATAGTGATAATAATAATAATAATACATTTTTCATCTTCATCTTAAAAAAAAAAAAAAAAAAAAAAAAAAAAAAAAAAAAAAAAACACATTGGTGTATATTCACCGTCATGTTACTACTGTCTGACAATCACTGAAAAAAACAAAAACATTCACCCTGTAATGCTGACCGGTCACCGTGACACCGTAGTTTTTATCAGAAACACCTCGCCTAAATATTGTCATAATAACATAATCCATTCTTTATAAACTCACTTTTTTGTTCCTTTGGCAAATTATATATATATATATATATATATATATATATATATATATATATATATATATATATATATTCTCTTAAAAATTAAAGACCAGTTATTTTTATTTCGTCAATGGTATCTAACGTTAAGTGCCATACATCGTTTCCATATAAAACATTTTAACTCCATTAACATGCTGACAGTTGCGAAAAAAATAAGTAAAATTCAATGGCACGCTAAGATTTTATCAGAACATTTAAATGAGCCAAAATAAAGTCAAGAACAACTTTGCATGTGGCATTACTACCTTCATCAGTTGCCAGAAGTAAAATTGTTTCCAAAGCATACGATACCACGCACGTTATTAGGTTCTTTAGAAGTCATGCCATTGTCAAAAGTGCTATGAAGATCATTGCTATTATTAATAGATACACCACGAAGCTTATTAAATGTGAAAATCCGGTAGGTGTTTTTTTTAACAAAAAGGTAAATTAATAAAAGTGTAAATTAATTAAATTGTTTTAAACTACTCTATATAATAGGTTTCGATTATTTGTTTTTAAATCCTATATCTCCTTTCATAAGCTGACAGAAATGATTATAGATACCCCCTTATTACACTCCCATGAGTAATAACATAGCACCATTTCCATTCAGCCAAATTTTATACAAACCGAACGTCAGATATCGAAAGACCACGCGGTAGGTAATAAATTCGACAAGACAATGGTTCACAAAAAAAAAAGAAAAAAAGTTTAGAATGCTGGGTAGTGACCACCAATATATTAGCGTTGATTAGCCGCTCCTATGAGTAGTTCCTAACGAGAGAGAAAAAATATCCTTGGGGTGACTGGCCTATGAAGCTTCGGGACAGTCAAGTTCACATACAGATATTGTAGAATTGCAAAGATAGCAATAATGTCCATCATAGACTTTATATTTCTGTGGTGAAATGTGTTTAATTAGATTAACCTAGATGAAGCCCTCTTGGGTGCTGAGGCCAGTAAGTAGCTCATAACCATTGGTGATATAAAAGAGACAAACAGACAGAGGCGGAGGCGTGAATGTGTGTAATATATGTATACGTATATATGTACGTGTATGTATGTATAGATATGTATTTATATAAATATATATGTACAAGTATGCATGTATGTATAAATACATACATGTGTGTATATATATGTGTATATATATATATATATATATATATATATATATATATATATATATATATACATGTGTGTATATATGTATATATATATATATATATATATATATATATATATATATATATATATATATGTATATATATATGTATGTATGTATGTTCGTGTGTGTGTGTAAGTGTATGTGTGTGTACACAAACACACACATACACACAGCTATATATATATATATATATATATATATATATATATATATATATATATATATATATATTCATATTTACATATATATGTGTATATATACATACACACACACACACACACACACACACACACACACACACACACATATATATATATATATATATATATATATATATATACATATATAAATATATATATATATATATATATATATATATATATATGTTATATATATATATATGTATATATATGTACACACACACACACACACACACACACACACACACACACACACACACACACACACACACATATCTTTAGTCCGAATGGTGATCGGCTAAACACGTAAATGAACGACAATTTATCGAGCAGCGTACGACACTCGAAACCAGCCGTCTGCCAAGGCACCACTGGCACACACATCCCTAGTGCCAGTCTGCTCAAGGACACGGCGTGACTGTGACAGGCATCAAGGTGGCAGATGTCTCTCCATCCTCCTTTGCTTGGCCAAGACAATACTATCACGTTGAGAAAAGTCGAGAGTTTTGAATAAACATCTCGTTGTCCATAGTCTTAAGACACTGTTGATTAATAAAGTACCAGGTAATTATTCCAAGCTTTTATCAATATGTTATCATATTTGTTTTATCTTTAGGAGAAAACTGCAGATGTTATACTTATAACCCCGTAACTATATGAGTACGTAATTGTTAGATGATTTATTGGAAAATGCTTGTTATCTAGTTTTCAATAAATTAGACAGTCGTAAAGCCTTTATATGACATTTAAATATTTTTGTTAATTGTATATTGAATGTCAAGTGCAATAGTGATTAAAAGATATAAATTGTAATGATGGTTGTGGATATTATTATTTTTGAAGTATTATACTGTAATTATTATTTTTATTGTCATTACTATTATTATATTGTTATTGTATTTATCGTTATCATCATTACTATCATTATCATTGTTACAATGTTATTCTTGTTGTCATTATTATTACTATTGATATTATTATTACTATTTTTGCTATTGTTACTGTTACTCTAATTATTATTATTACTATTATTGCTATTGTTATTATTACTCATTATTATTATTATTATTATTATCATCATAAATTTTGTTATTTATAATATATCAGTAGTTGGTGGATGTGCCACTTATGTCAATACATAAGCCTTCATTTCCCAGGTCCCAAAGTTGTCTATTGGCTAGTAAAACCTGTCGCTTGATTCTCTTTATGACACGTAATTTGATGCCCTGGGAATCTTCGGCAATTTACAGTTAGTTTCATTATTATATTTATTTTTTACTACACCCTTACACGGGTTTCTCATATTACAAAATCACAGTTAAAATGGAATGCAAACTTAGATTATCTTTTAAGTGCCACTATAGCTATGACGTATGGAAAATAGTGACACCTTGTAAGCAATCCCCATAACGGCAGTTATTCCAGACTTTTAAATTTGAAGATATCACCATCACTGCTCTATACAAATTATATCCACGTTATGGCATGACTATACTATTCTGTATTATATATTACATGCGTTATAACTATTTTCATGCTTGTTCCTTCTTTTTGCCACGAACCGGATTAAATGTGAATTAAGCGTAGCTCCGCCCCCTCGATTCCTGTCGTAAAAAAAGTGTCAGACGATGGAAATGATGATTGTAAACTCCCTTAAATTAACTCTCAATGAAGGGCTGGTCTTATACCAAGCATGAGGCTTCGTTTCCCTCAAAACTATTAGGTTATTGCATAGCCTGCTTTTTGATTCACTCTTATTTACATGGGCGATTTTCTTTGTAGGAATATTCTTTTAACTAAACCACTGTTGCATCAAAGAAAACGGATCTTGAGTGACATAGTGAAAGAGTGGAGAGCAGTTGGTGTTAATCTTCCAGTGTCTAGTTTTCAGTGTTATTATTACGGTTTTATTTAATTCGCAGGATGGATTATTCGAGGTTCATATCAAAGATGTCTTCAAACCGAAAACCGTCAGGAATCAGCGAAATGCGTGAGTATTTAGATAAAGTAGATGTGAATCCAACTCGAATGCTTACTCTGTGTGTGTGTGTGTGTGTGTGTGTGTGTGTGTGTGTGTGTGTGTGTGTGTGTGTGTGTGTGTGTGTGTGTGTGTGTGTGTGTGTGTGTGTGTGTGTGTGTATAAACAGTACATGCGTATAGATAGAGATAAAGAGATAGGTCAGTGGATGGATAGCGGCAAATATAAAAATATAATTAATTACCATGTTTTTATGAATAATCGCATATTTATGCCGACATTTTGACGATAACTACCAACCTCACAAAACAATAATCACATACTCATAACCCAAAATCAAATGGACTCTTTCCTTCCTCCCTTCTCCCTCCTCTTCTTCCTACCCTCCCTCTCTCCCTCCCCTCCTTCTCTCCCTCCCACTACCTCCTTTCATTTCCTCCTTCCCTCCCTCCCTCCCTCGCTCCTTTCCTTCCTTCCCTCTTTCCCTCCCCCTCCCTCCCACCCATAATCACCTCCCCATCTTCCCTACCCCCCTCACCCCCCCACCCCACCCACCCACAGGGAAGTACCTAGCCGAGCCCTCTCCGTCGTTGGTGTGGCTGGCTTCGGGAATGCCCAACCCCCAGCTGTTTCCCTTCCGCGACGCCACCATCAGCCTGAGCGACGGATCTGTCCTCGAAATCGGGCAGGACCTGATGGCGACCGGACTACAGTACGGACCAACGCCGGGGTGAGTTTCTTAAAGCGCGGTGATTGATGCTTCGCCAACTACCCCTTAAAATAAAATAAAATGTACTACTGCATTTCCTTCTACACTATGAACACCATTTCAATACCTCCCCTTCTTCCACTCCGTCAGGTACATCCCCCTGGTCCAGCAGCTGAAGGACATGACGCTCCGGAACCACAGTCCTCCGCGCTGGGGCGAGAGCGACCTCCTGGTGACAGTCGGGTGTCAGGACGGACTGGCGAAGGCGCTGGAGATGCTGCTCGACGTCGGGGACTGTGTGGTGGTGCAGGAGCCGTGTTATTCGGATGTCCTGTGCATCGTAGGTGTCCTGGGTTGTGTGTGTTTATGTTGTGTTTTGTTTGTGTTGTGTGTGTGTCGTGTTGGTGTTGTATTGTGTTGTGTGTGTGTGTGTGTGTGTGTGTGTGTGTGTGTGTGTGTGTGTGTGTGTGTGTGTGTGTGTGTGTGTGTGTGTGTGTCTGTGTGTCTGTCTGTCTGTCTGTCTGTGTCTCTGTGTGTGTGTCTCTGTGTTTATGTATGCATGTATGTATATATTTATGTATGTATCTTTTTTGTGCGACAAACGTTTCGACATTCAATCTAAACGACGTCACACTACCCTCCCTCCTATCTTATCCCAGCTTAGTCATCATTATCTAAACTACCCGTATTCATTACAGAATAGTTACAGAAATTCGTTACATCGTAGAATAGTTACAGAAATTCGCTTTTATTACCCAGCTCGCCCCTCTGACGCCGAAGTTCGTCGTTGTCGCCGCGGACGAGAAAGGGAT